CTTCCGATTTTAGGATTCTAGAGCTACGTACTAGTTTATTCGTTTCGCATCAATTCAAACAACAAACGTCAGTATATTCCCTTAAAACTCTCTAAAGATTCGTCTCGTGCTATGGCGATGACAGCCTCCACGAGGAGATGATCAAGCACTGGAGAACTCCACCCAATGCAGACCTCCGTCTCTTCTCAATCCCACTCTCCTGAAAGATCCTTGGGTGAGTTTTACAAGATCACCACCGGGATGATCTGGAAAGGGGGTATGTCTGTACACGTAATACTTGGCTTTTGGCAGCTCTTTAGAATGCGTGTTAAGACAAGCTTTTCGCGCAGTTAACTCTGATACCTGTTACCTTACTGACACTAATGGCTTTATGCAGGAAGGGAGATCTAAGAACTAAGACTTGCTGCCAGCGCTCACCAAAACGATGGACGTTTCTGTGATTCTTGGCGTTGCGGTGGTGGCAGTCACTGCCCTGCTGACATTCTCGAGTTATTTCAACAAATAGTAATATGAGCTGGTGCTCAAGCCGGGACAGCCTCCTCTTCCACCGGGTTCCCGTATTTGGCAACATGGCTGCTTTTCTCAGAGCCTTCAAGTCTGGAAGACCGGACTCTTTCATGGCTCACTACGTTGCAAAGTTGAGTTATCTGGTAGTTTTTTCTATCGCTCATTGTCGCTTCTTTGTTCTCGGTTTCCAGGTACAATCGAGTGGGTTTTTACAAGGCATTTCTGTCTGGCAGGCCACCGTCCTGGCTTCCACACCAGAGGCATGCAAATTCGTGCTCTCCAAAGACAGTTTTGAGACAGGATGGCCAGAGAGAACTATTGGGGTCATGGGACGGTATTCTTTTGCGGGATACTTGAAGCTCCAGAAGCTTACCGAGTCCGCTATGAACAGTCCTAAAGCTCTCCAGCAGTATATGCCCCTCATGGTCAACAACATAAATGCGTGCCTTGAGAGGTGGTCTGCTCAGGATACGATCGTTCTTCTTACCAAGATGAGAAGGGTAAACGATGTTTACTTCCTCCTGTTTCCTAGTTGACACGTTTTCTTTGATATGACAGTTCACGTTTCTAACTATCAACCACATTTTATATGGGAAAGACTCCAGCCCTGATGTGGATGATACTATCTCCTTGTACTACATTCTCAACCAAGGCATTAGTGTTCTCCCCATCAACTTCCCCCCATAAGCGTTGTCCTACACAGCTTTGTGATGTTTTCCCATTCTCAGGTGTGGCGAAAGCTCATCAAGCTTATCCAGGACATGATCAACCAGCGAAGAGCTTCGGGGACGCTGCAAGGAACAAACATTCTTTCATTGCTCATGGATCAGCTGGATGACAGAGGAGAGGCGCTGGAAGACGCTCAAATCATCGACGTCTCTCAACATGTACATGAACGCTGCATGTCCACACCGCAACCGAATCAGTCAATGAAGTGCTACCAGTTGGGCCAGATTTAACAATGGGGATTTACTGTCATGCAAAAGAAGAATACTTGGAAAGCTTGAAAGTTTCAAGAGAGCAACTACTCGGGGTAAGCCTTTGTCAAATGGCACATGCCCTTGCTCTTTTAGAATACGCACCACTTGAAAAGTACGAGGAAGAGAATTTTGCCAAACGCTTTGCAAAATCTCTGCATCCTGCAAATAGCCGACAGTCCTCACATCCACAACCAGGCTCTCTGATAGACTCAAAAATTCCGTAGCCAATATCGTGTACAGCCGCTACCTTCGACGGCAAGCCATCCGAGCACGTAATGGATTCCAGGGTGTATGTTGCTTGCTGGAGCTAGCTGGCTCCCTCAGATAGGCGCTGCGGACCATGGGAGATCCGCAGTATGGGTCGACGGGCCTCTGTGGGCCTTCCGGCAGAGATCCAGACAGTTCTTGAGCGAGAGGAGATTTGAAAACAACGTTCTGGTCCTTACTGTCTAATATGCACAACAAAATAACCAAGGGACAGCTGAATCCCTCATCTTGCAAAATTTAAATGGACCCATGTCATTCCAGACCGGGCTCTTTGGCAAGATTTCAATCCTCTGATGTAAATTTGAAGGGTAAGGGTAAAAGGACAAATGTTTTTAGGACATATTGTTACCATTAGAAGTTACTTAGTGAATTTAAGGGTAATGAAATCATATTTATCAAAAAACTAAATTTGTGTATACACATGTTTACTAATGTCTCTTACGGACTAAAAAAAGTATAAGGCAAGACAAGTGAAACTCTCAAATTGATGAACTCCTCATATTGTCCTGTCCTAGGGCTCCAATTCATATTCATTTTTTTCCTAAAATTCCATGAGCATGTATCAAATATTAAAGACAAAAGATATTCTATGATGGTCATTGTAACAGCAGGTTTGCTAAAGCATTAAACCCAAAAATTCATGTTTTGTTTGTTATGCTAACAATCACTTTTCGTTCTGATCTCGTCCTACCAGCTTTCCAAATCAAAGCATGCTATACTGCTCCATGTTTGTGTAGAAGGTGAGCGATGGCTGGTGTCCCCCGTTAGCTTTGGACGGCGTGCGTGCAGCGCCTGTAGTTTAAACAGTTGACAGATTGTCGGCAAGACTTTGTCTCGGGGAAGATGATGTTCGTTATGAACACCTGTCATCGATTGCTGCCACGGATGAGTCTCTCATTTGGGGTGGCACCGACAAGCCCAAAAGTTCGTGGAGCTTTTCCACAGCTGCAGTGGTTCCAGAGTCGCAGAAGAAGAGAGCATCGTAAGGGACTCCTTGACATAACTCGTGGCCAGTTTCCAGGATATGCAGAAGAGATTACTCACCATAGGGCGACGTGCTTGATGAGGAAGTTTTCTATAGAGAACAAGGAGGTGTAATGAGAAGCAATGAGAAGCCTGCTACGCTGGGAGCCTATCCTTAACGCTGTGGCACTATTCCTGCTGCTCCTTTTCAGCCTTCACTAAGAATCCTGCTCTGTCGTGGCTGATCAAACACGGCGCGATCGATCACGGCATTTACATGTGATGAGAAAGAGATCAGTGCTATTCAACGGTGGATTTCGGTCCTGTTTTTCCAGTCAACAAAAGGGTTGCAAGGTAGACGAATATTTTATTCGCTTCATGTTTTGTCAAGCTTGACAAATTCGCGGCATGTAAGTTTTTCACATGTTTGCCATCTCACGCTAGCACTTGCAGTGATAACTTATCATTGCATCACTGACTGCTGAGGCCTTTAAGAAAATCATCCAAGCTCGCAGCGGATCGACCACCACTCTCCACAGCTTTCCTTGCCTTGCACTTCAGCACCTCAACAGTGTCTTTCATCTGCTTCCCTCTTTCCCCATCCATCACCTCCCGCAGCGTCTTTTCGATGTCGCCTCTGCCGATCAGTCCATTCGCCCCTCTTGCAAATCCAGCTCCAATCTTCCAGTCGTGTATAACCAGCTTTGCGTTGGTGTTTTGCTCAGCTCCCCAAGGCCAACACATGAGAGGCACTCCATTGCTGATACTTTCCAGCACCGAGTTCCAGCCGCAGTGACTGAGGTGCGCAGCGATGGAGGGGTGTTTCAGTACTCGTAGCTGCGGTGCCCAGGACACAGTAAATCCCTGCTTGGAGGTACGTTCGCAGAATTCCTTATACTTCTCTACCGGATTTCCAATGAGAAGTTCTGGCCGTAACACCCACAAGAAAGGCTTTCCGATTGCTTCCAGTCCCACCGCAAGCTCCTCAAACTGTTCGACAGTCACGACCGCGATGCTGCCGAAAGATATGTAGAGAACGGAAGCCTTTTCCTGCTTGTCGAGCCACCGCAAGGCACTCGTCGTCCTCGTTCCTGAGCACCACGTTGGTTGGTCCGATCTCGGAGGTCTGCTCGTCCAGGAGAAACATGGGACCGACAGAGAGAAACTCCGTGCCACCTTTCCGGAGCTCGGCGGCCATGAAGTCGGAAGCTTCCGGCTCCAGATCGTAAAAGGAGTTGACGAGCACGCAGGAGGCCTTGCGGATGTAGGGGACTCGCTGCACGGAGTACTCCGCCCAGAGATGATCGTCAGCTTGCAAGTAGAGAGGAACGTCGGCTTGATGAAGAGGTCCCAGTCCCTTGATAATGCCCACTATAGATTCATCCGCGACAAGCTTCTTCGCTGCAAAGTTTCGAGGCGTACGTGACTGCCATTGGCAGAACTTAAACTTAAATTGGAGTTACCTTCGGTCAAGCTGGGAAAGACATGGCCTCCGGCGATGAGCTCGGGTATGTGATACTCAATCGTGGTCCAGGCAGTGGATCCAGGCCACAGAACAATCCTTGGAATCCCGAACTTATCAGCAACGTCCTGGGTCCAGAAGAAGAAGTAGTCCGAGATTATGCAGCGGACCGGCGAGATCTCGAGAGAGAGTTTGGAGACGAGATACTCGAGAGCTGGGATCATCTCGGTGGTGGTCTTGAAGAACTCACCCAAGTGAGTGAGAGTGTGAGCATCCAGGCCGTGTGGGATCTTCCAGGAGAGTGGGATTGAGACGAGGCGGAGGTCCGTATTGGGTGGAGCTCTCCAGTGCTTGATCATCTCGTCGTGGAGGCTGTCGACATTGACGAACGAGACGGTGAATCCATCTCGAGCGGCGATCTTTTTACAGAGATGCATTATCGGAGTGATGTGTCCTTGGCCTGGGACGGGAAATGCGAGGACATGGATCTTTGGAGACGACGTACCTTGAGAAGCCATAGCACGGCAAGACTGGATGGGACAAACCTTTAGAAAGTTTGAAAAGAATTGGCCTCTTGCTAGTTTTGTCGACTTTTAAATCTTGAGATCAGGGGTCCAGCCAGGATCGGGAAAGTCAAACCTTGCTCGACGTGCATTCTGATAGAGTTTTCTAAAGATTGATCATGTGTTTGAGACTAAGATTCTTGTATTGTCGTTCATCACAGGTAGGCGAGAAGGATCCAATGCGAATTTCCAGACAAACATGAGGCATGGAACTGCGGTGTGTATAAACATTTGATTTAGTGATTCCCAAGCTTTCTATCAGATGCTTATGTAAATCAAGGGCATGTTTTGCTGGGAAAGCTCACTGTTCTGGAGACAATCACTTACTCTGCTTATTTGAGGCAGCCTACCACACAGCCAAAAGAGGAGATGGTTGACAGTATGATGGGGCTTGGAGACAGTGGTTCTCGCATGGATTGAGTGGAGGGAAGAAATGAAGAGTGAGCATTGCTTTGGACACCCAAACGCAGTTATCTCTTAGTGGTTTAGAGAAGTAATTATTATGTCTGATTTATTTGATGATTTTCTGTGCAGAGCATCAATGGGAATCCCATTCATGGGTGTCACTAATTACATGACTAAGGCATTTGGCTAACTCCAAAGATAATTACGAAGCATTCAAAGCACTTACAAATGCATTTCTTACAAAAGCATATTGTGCTCCAGTTCTCAGTTTGCATTTGAACTCCACTCCACACAAAAGTTAGGTGAAGGTTGAAAACAATTTGGGTGACACTTACTAGATGCCAGAAGATCATTTATAAATATGACAAGTGAAACGTGAATGACATGCTCACGAAGCCATACTTTTAATTTTAAGCATTTATTTTCTTAAAGGTCCTACTATTAATTTTAAACATCAGAGGTTTCCCATCTATGAGCTGAGTGAGTTTGATGATAGTAATAAAAATTCCTCGATAAACCAAAATCATGCTTAACAGGATTATAAAGTTCAACCATTTAGATCTTGAGAGATCTACTTGATATTGTTTAAGAATTGTTGTTCCTGATAGCTTTCCTCCAAAAATATCATTGTTATCAAACTCAAGCCCTTGAAAATCATTTTCATAAAGACCCTGTTATAATTTTTTTAGTTTCAAGAAAATAAATAATATTTGTTTTACCTGAAGTAAATATGTTTGAAATGCTATATAATGCATTGGATATTTCCAAAAGCCTTTTGGCAGTTCATTAGCAAGTTTAAAAAATCCATCAACAAGCATGAATAACCCCTGAAAAATCGCATTAGAAACGGTTTAAGAAATATAAAGAGATTTACCAAGATTCCAGATCCTGTAATTATTCCCATGAGAAAATTGGGAACAATTGATGCTACACACATCATCAAGCTCTCCACCACGGTCACAGATGCAAATAAGTTCAACACAAAAAATATGAAGTGATCAAAGCCTGGGTGGAGTTTAACCATATTATAAAATACACTTGTTGATATCAATGAAATAAGAAGGAGATAAGGAATGGAAGAGAGTGTGTTTGCGAGAGTAAATACAATGGGACCATAGTAACCATTTTGTTTCTCATGATTAAAAACCTGAAGAAAATATCACTGGATATGAAAACAAGACAATTCAGAACTATCCCATACCTTAATCTCTTCAATGAAAGATGGAAAACCTCCAATTGACATAAATGTAAGAAATTTACCAATAAAAGCCATACAGCCAATCCTTGCCTAAAAAGAAAACAAACGAGCTTAACCATGGTTAGGAATATTTTTTGGTATTCTCTTACTGCAATGGAGTTGTATTTAGTGCCAACATTAAAATATATACTGCCAATAACGATGCTAAGCATAAAGTATACAAAGATTCTCAACCAATAGTATCCAATATCTCTTGTCATATTTATAAATGATCTTCTAGTTAACGTGGAAAGCTGATGGAGAACTCCTGCTTGAGGCATGTGGATGCATTCATTCTATAAATAGTAATCCATTAATAATCATAATATTCTAAAAAATCAAGTCATTTACCTTTGCACTAGGTGTGTCACACAAACTGTCTAGAAGGTTCACCTTAGTCACACAAAGAATGTCAACTTTTGTGTGGAGGGATCTCAAATGCAAATTTTGAAATGCATTTGTAAGCACTTTGATTGCTTCAGAAGCTGGAACTATTTCTTGAGTTTCAATATCTTCCTGTTCAAATTGAGATGAATATTAAGAAAAAAATCTCTGGAAAATAGTACAAATTAATACCTTAAATTTGTTTTGAACATTGTCAAAATCAGAATTAATAACTCTAAGATAGTGGTCTGATGGATTTCTTCGGAGAGGACAAGGAAATCCAGCACTCTCAAAGAACTAAAATAAAATATAAAACATAAAGAATATCAAATTTGAGAAAAGTACCGTGCTAGCTTCCATGGCATCTCCAAAATATACAAGTGCTCCCTGAGATAGTAGGCAAAGATTATCAAACTGCTCAAACACTTCGCTACTTGGCTGGTGAATTGACATAATAACAGTGCGTTTTGAAGTAGCTAGGTTCTTAATTGTTTTAATCACATAAAACGCAGATGCACTGCAAAGAAAAACATCAAATAAAAATTACAATAAACCGGACTTAAAAATCATATAAATATTCACCTGTCTAAACCACTGGTTGGTTCGTCCATGAACAAAAGAGATGGCTGAGTTAGAATCTCCAAAGCAATGCTCACTCTTCGTTTCTCCCCTCCACTCAATCCAGGTGAGAACCAACCTCCCACCACTGTATGCTTGCAATCTCCAAGCCCCATCTCAGTGATCACACTCTCAACCATCTCCATCTTTTGGCTTTGGGGCAGTGAGTGAGGCAGCCTCAATTGAGCAGAGTAAGTGATTGTCTCTAAGACAGTGAGTGTTCCTAGCAAAACATCTTCTTGTTTCACATAGGCCTATGACAGAAAGTTTGAGAATCACAGAATCAAATGTTTATATACACACCGCAGTCCCATGCCTCATGTTCGTCTGGAGATTCCCATTCACAAAAATGGATCCTTCTCGCCTCGCGTTCTTGGCCAATCTACCTGTGATGAACGACAATGCAAGAATCTCAAGCTTTAATCTATTGCCCAAACCCAAATCAATCTTGGAAAACTATACCAGCAACCGCATCAAGCAAGGTGGACTTTCCGGATCCCGAAGGACCCATGATCGCCGTGACTTGGCCACTCTGGGCATAGCCACACATACTCTCCAGCAACACTCGTCCATTGCTCACGCTCACACTCAAATCCTTCCATGCGACATCCATAATAATATATCTGTTCTCCTTTCTCATGAAAACTTGGGTAAGATTTATAGCTCTCCAAGTTGGACTTGGACTTTCAGCTACTGTAACACGGTAAGATCTTAGATTCATAGGAGATTAATAGTGTAAAATATTGTTTAATTTCTTTCTTGTGTTGTTCCCATTCAAAGTCTGTCCAGAAGTCTCGAAATTATTGAAACTCTCAAGTGTCATCTTCTCAGGAAATTTGGCATTCCAAGGACCACTCCCTAGACATATCTTGTCTTTCCCAAAGGTAACTCCCCATTAAGTTCTTCCCGCCTCAAATATCTCTAAGGGTCAACAAAAGACAAGGGCTTCATAATCAAGAATGACTCCAGCAAGTCCTATAGTTCTGATTGATAATTATAACAGGCTGGTGTCAATGATCAAGTTAGAGGCACAACACTACAAGGCCAATTATATGCACCAAGTGCATCAGGATATCTCCAACTGGCAGCAGTGGAAAGCCTACTCAATGGACAACCATGTTTTTGATCCCACCGATCTTGATGTGGATGTCGATTGGTGTTTACGAACGCACTGGATGTGTAGGTGGTGGGTCCCTTCGAATTTGTCAAGCATGTTATTTCCTTGAGTATATTTCTCCTAAAGTGAACTGGAAAAATAAGACATAATCCACTAGGCACTTGTGAAGACATTTTCCTCATATGGTGCATTAAAGTAGGATATTTGTGATGGTTAAAGAGGACCTAAAGTACATTCTAGGTAACCATTTTGTTAAAAACAAAGTAAGTTTGCAAAAGATGTTTTATAACATCTTGTCTTTGTAAGTAACCAAAAAGAATAACTTTAGAGATGATCCATAAGGGTTTAAATATAGAGTTTATTGCATTTTGTTTTTTAATTAATTAAGGGTTTTAAAATATTTGGTATTAGACATTTTAGTGTTAGGTTAGGTGATTTTTCGGGAAACTAAGAGAATCATACCACATGTTAAAATTGACATTTAGTAAGTCTAGTTTACCTCTAAATGGCCTCAACCTGAGAGATAAGGTGTCAAGAGAACAAACCTTTTAAGAAAGTTACAGCTTTTGATTTCCATTCATGAGGAAGTTTACAAGGAAGTCTAGTCCAATTTACCTGGATGGACTTGACTTGAGGAGTAAGGTGTCAAGAGAGCAAACCTTTCAAGAGAGTTACAGCTCTTGACTTCCAGTCATGAAGAAACTTACAAGGAAGTATGGTGGATTATAAATAACCAAAAAGAACGACATAAAAGATAATCCATAAGAGTTCAAATATAAAAAGAAAGGGCCCATGAATAAGAGTGCACCTTTTTTTTTCAATTGATGTTGAGATTGATATTTGGACTTGTCATATTATGAATTCAACCTGAGGGTTAAGGTGTCAAGAGAGTGGGGCTCTCGAAAGAGCTATAACTCTCTACTTTTGTTCATAAAGAAATTCATAAAGAAGTATGATGGTTGTAAACAACTAAAGAAAACGACTTGAGAGACAATCCCTAAATGTTCAAATATAAAAAGAAAAAGCTTATGAATACCCTTTTCCAATTGGTTAAAAATCTTGGGATATAACATCTTTAAATTTGAATAGTACCTTCAAATATCTATACGGTCAACAAAAGACTAAGACTTCATAATCAAGCCCACTTAGGTGACAAGTCCCTTAAAATTTATCAAGCTTGACTAATCAAACCATCTTTACCATATTTGTAGACAATGAAACTAATTGAAGCATATAAATATATTAACTTATAGTAATTAATAGTAAAAATGAAATACAAATACTACAGGTAGTAAAATCCTGCTACCACAAAATTCACTACAAATTATAAATAGTGAACATATCAGAAGAGTGCTCACCAATAATACAATGAAGTGCTTTGCTTCAAAGTCGGCTTCCAAGGTCAGCAATGTAACTCCCAGCATTGAGGAGGATTGGCAGCCAGACTTCAAGCCCAATCCTTTCAAGTTTTTCAGGCCCTTTGACGATGAGCAAAAGTGTGTCTGGCTCAGATCCCAGATCATCGGCTCCCAGCTGCAAATCTCCACACCATTCGGCAGCAGGCTTCTCACTTATGCCGATTACACTGCCTCTGGCCGCTGCTTGTTCTATATAGAAAACTTCCTCATCAAGCACGTCATGCCGTCCTACGGTGCGTGAAGCCGTGAATTCTCTTCTGCATATCTGGACCCGCTGCATTCTGTTTCAGGGAACATGCATGCCGAGGACAGCCACATTGGAGAGAAGACCACCCGGATGGTGAAACTGGCCACGAGTTATGTCAAGGAGTCCCTGGGAGGAACCGAGGATGATGCTCTCTTTTTCTGCGGCTCTGGAACCACTGCAGCTGTGAAAAAGCTCCACGAACTTTTGGGCTTGTCTGTACCGCCCCAAATGAAAGAGTCAGCCGTGGCAGCGATCGATGACAGGAAGAGATGGCTGGTGTTCATAGGCCCATACGAGCATCATTCCAACATTCTTCCCTGGAGGCAAAGTCTTGCCGAGGTTGGGCTTTTTCGTTTCTTTCAATCTGTCAACTGTTTAAACCACAGGTCATTCAAGTTCCAATGACTGAGGATGGATTGATTGACATGAAGTACCTCGAAGAGGAGCTGCAAAATCCCAAGCACGCAGATCGTCCAATGCTTGGCTCCTTCTCCGCTTGCAGTAATGTCACGGGAGTTTTCGCGGACACTAGAGCCATTGCTCGCCTTCTACACAAACATGGAGCATTAGCATGTTTTGATTTCGCAAGCTGGTAAGACGAGATCTTTTACCAAGGACGAAAAGAAGCTTACTTGCCGAATCTGATCAACAGCGGTCCATACGTGAAGATCAACATGCGATCACGAAAAGCTGATGGATACGATGCTGTGATGCTGAGTCCACACAAGTATGTCGGAGGGCCAGGAACGCCGGGCCTGCTTTGCATGAACAAAAAGCTCTACAAGCTCAAGGATCACGCACCGTCGACAACAGGCGGAGGAGTGGTAGACTTCGTCAACTACAACAAAGAGGTCAGTTCCCTTTCCAGCGAAAGAACAAAGAAAACCAACACTAAACAAACTCATACCAGGACACACTCTACCTGGAGGACATTGAAAGCCGAGAAGACGCTGGAACACCTTCCATACTCCAGCGGATAAAAGCCGGGATTGTCTTCACTGTCCAAGAAGAAATGGGATACCGTCTCATCGAGTCGAGAGAGCACAACTTCATCACCACCGCGTTGAAAAGGTTGTCCAAGAACCGAAAGATAGTGGTGCTCGGGAACACGCAAGTGAAGCGAGCAGCAATCGTCTCGTTCCTCGTCCGGACCACTGATTCCAACGGTGAAATCCAGCAAACCGTGCTGCAAGGCCGGTTTGTAGCCAAGCTCCTCAACGATTTGTTTGGGATCCAGTCGAGAGGAGGGTGCTCGTGTGCCGGTCCTTACGGCCACTCGCTTCTCAAAGTCAGTGATGAGCTCTCCCTGAAATTTCGAGCAGCAATTCAAGAGGTTGAGAAGCAAAACAATAGAAGTTTTCGCCAAGGACCTTTTTCTAACGAGGAAAGAACCTTTTTTTTTTCTCACAGGGATATAGCGGTGTCAAACCTGGATGGACGCGCTTGAACTTCGCATACTTCCTCTCCAAGGAAGAGTTCCATTTCTTGCTGTGCGCCATAGAGTTCGTGGCGGACTATGGCCAGCGCTTTCTCCCCCTCTACGAATTCGAGTGGCAGACTGGGAACTGGAAATACGAGGAGAAGAACAGCATCAGCACCACCGTCAAGGCAACATTACACAAGGAATGGACCAAACTCCCGCTGCTCCAGCAGCACAAAGATTACCTGGGTACCGCTATGGCGATTGCCAAGCAACTGGCTCACGATCCAGGCCAGGGCAGCACGGCGCCCGCCGGCATTGATCCCGAGCTCGTTACCTTCCGATTCTAGGGTTCTTGGCGCTATGTACTAGTATATTCGTTTTGCATCAATTCAAACAAAAGTTTGTGTGGTGGGATATATATACTTTACGCAACCCATCTCTAAAGTCAACGAGTCTTTCAGTGACTTCGCAAGACTCTCTAAAGATTGATCACGTGTTTGAGACCAAGATTCTTGCATTGTCGTTCATCACAGGTAGATTGTGAGGTGAGAAGGATCCAATGGGAATCTCCAGACAAATACAAGGTAAATTTTCTTAATGATCTGAACATGAAGATATTGATAGGGGCAGTCATGGGTGTCACTAATTACATGACTAAGGCATTTGGCTGACTCAAAAGATAATTACGAAGCAATCAAATTGCTTACAAATGCATTTCTTACAAAAGCATATTGTGTTCCAGTTCCCATTTTGCATTTGAACTCGCCCCACCCAAAAGTTAGGTGAAGGTTGAAGACAATTTGGGTGACACATAAATTTTTTATAAGATTATGATTCTAATGCAGCTCCAAATGCCAGAAGATCATTTATAAATATGACAAGTGAAACGTGAATGACAAGCTCACAAAGCCATTCTTTTAATTCTAAGAATTTATTTTTTTAGAGGTCCTAAACATCAGAGTTTTCCCATCTATGAGCTGAGTGAGTTTGATGATAGTAATAAAAATTGCTCGATAAACAAAAATCATGCTTAACAGGATTATAAAGTTCAACCATTTAGATCTTGAGAGATCTACTTGATATTGTTTAAGAATTGTTGTTCCTGATAGCTTTCCTTCAGAAATATCATTATTATCAAACTCAAGCCCTTGAAAATCATTTTCATAAAGACCTTGTTATCAATTTTTTTAGTTTCAAGAAAATAAATAATATTTTTTTACCTGAAGTAAATATGTTTGAAATGCTATATAATGCATTGGATATTTCCAAAAGCCTTTTGGAAGTTCATTAGCAAGTTTAAAAAATCCCAACAAGCATGAATAACCCCTACAAAATCATATTAGAAGCGGTTTAAGAAATATAAAGAGATTTTACTAAGATTTCAGATCTTGTAATTATTCCCATGAGA